CTTTTAATGTCAATTAAAGTTGAAAAGATATATTAACTCTATCTTTGAGCACAGATTATGAAATTTCTTAATAAAAATGCATGCCAACTTGCCAAGTCATCGGTTGTTGTTTGCCACCCGCTCCCGTCCAAAACAAATTGCGGAAGCAATGACAAAATCAGAACCCCATGTGGCCTATGTCCCACGCACGCACGAACTTCACTTCTGCGTCCTACACGTGTCCACCCGTGCTCGTCCCCCTGAAAAACCTCTGAGAACCTTATCGCCGACGTGGACCCCCGCCACGTGTTTACATTTTCTCTATAAATTAACGCGTTCCCTATGCTTCTCACGTTTCAACGTTCAAGAGCCGCCGTTGAAGAGAAACGAAGAAGAAGAAGAAGCAGCAGCAGCAGCAGCACCAGAAGAGGTTGAGAGAGTTAAGGTCAAAATGACAGCAGAGTTACAGTTACCACCCGGCTTCAGGTTCCACCCGACGGATGAGGAGCTCGTTATTCACTACCTCTGCCGTAAATGCGCTTCACAGCCGATTGCAGTCCCTATCATCGCTGAAATCGATCTCTACAAATTCAATCCATGGGATCTTCCTGGTAGTTAATTAAACCTGTTCGATTACGGTTTTTATTCGTTCCTTTCGGGAATAGGTTTTGAAAATTTTGTTCTGGTACAGATTTGGCTCTGTACGGCGAGAAGGAATGGTACTTCTTTTCACCGAGGGACAGGAAGTATCCAAACGGATCAAGGCCAAACAGGGCAGCAGGAAGCGGCTACTGGAAGGCGACGGGAGCCGATAAGCCAATTGGCAGGCCAAAAGCAGCGGGGATTAAGAAGGCTCTGGTGTTTTACGCCGGAAAAGCTCCCAAAGGAGAAAAAACCAATTGGATTATGCACGAGTACCGCCTCGCCGACGTCGACCGCTCTCCTCACAAGAACAACGGCTTGAGGGTATACACAGATACACCCCTTTCTTTAAATACTGCAATTACCATTTTACCCCTGGACAATTTTAAAAAAAAAAATGGTGACAGGCGACGGAGGACCGTCCATTTTCTATAAAATTTACACCTCATCACATACATTGTTCAGCTATAAATTGACGGTGACCGTGGCCTGTGACGTTAGCAAAACCAGCACTAAATAATATTCGTACTTATCTTTAATTTAATTGATAAATGTAAAATTAAATCATTTGATAAATCCGGCGGTGGTGATTTTGCAGCTGGACGATTGGGTGCTGTGCCGAATATATAACAAGAAATGGACTATAGAGAGGAAGCCGCTGCGAGAGAAGAAGCCCATTTTATCGGCAATTACAGAGGAAACGAGGCAGTCGCCGGAAGATAGGAAGCCCAGTTTATCGGTAGTTTCCGAGGAGAAGAAGCCGGAGATCTTGATACGTGGCATGGGAACGACGGCGCCACCGCAGCCTCCAGTCGCGGTGGCGAATGATTATTTTTACTTTGACACGTCCGAGTCGATGCCGAGGTTACCACATACGGACTCGAGTTGTTCGGAGCACGCGATATCGCCGGAATTCACTTCCGAGGTCCAGAGCGAGCCGAAGTGGGATGACTACAATGCCTTCGATTTCCCCTATTACGTGGATGACACTGTGGATATGTTCCAGGGCGATAATCAGATGTCGTCGTTCCAGGATTTGTTCATGTTCGCGCAGAAGCCGTTTTGAATCTGGTAATAATTGGATGGCATAGATGGTGCTTGTGGAGTAGTGTTGATGATATAATCTGGGCCGTTGATAGAAGAAAGTGTTGATTTTGATTCATCTGACGATGGGTGTTGGATTTCATGCGTAATAGAGACTAATTAGTAACTTAGAATATGTACAGGAGATTAAGGTCACTCTAGTTATTACATTAAAAAATAAAAAAGAGAATTCTTGTACTACTAAAAAAAAGATTGATTTGTCATGTTTGTTTCACAAAGTTTTATAGTAAATATTATTATTTTTTAAAAGAAAAATAATCTTCGAGCATTATTTTTCGTTTCTTTTCTTTTCTGAGAAGCTTCTAACCGATTTCTTGATATCAAAAAAAAAAAAAAAAAGGAAAAAGGAAGAAAGAGGTTTTTGTGCCAGAAGTGAGAAGCCTTTTGACTGT